AATAAAATAAAAATTTTTCATTTTTATTATTATTTTTTAAGTCGGCTCCCCTCCCAGCATGGAGCCCAACGCAGGGTTCAAACTCACGACCCTGAGATCACGACCTGAGCTGAGGTCAAGAGTTGGACACACAACCGACGGAGCCACCCAGGCGCTCCATGTGTGGATGCAGTTCAGTCCTCACGGTAAGCCTCTGAGTTGGGGCCTATTAGCCCTGTTTTACAGAAGGATCAAGTGAGCCCAAGGTCACACGCTCCCAGAGGATGGCAGAGAGGGGACAGGGGTTGGGACCACAGGGCCAAACAGGCCCATGATGTGATGAGGGAACAGGACACACAGTGCTCCCCCCGAGGCTGGAAGAATGTGGGGGAGAGTGGAGAAAGGGGAAGGTGTAGGTCAGCACCAAGAGAGGCCCCAGCCTCAACCCCAAGGGGATGGACAGGAGGAAAGAATGAGTAGGATGCAGATAAGCAGTGTGTGTGTGGAGGGGGTGTCTAGGAGAGAGGAGGGGCCCGAGGAGAAGGTTTGCATAGACCACTCTGGGAAAGGAGAGCCCAGCGGGGTGGGGGTCATGGGTTCACAGTGGCATCTCTGGGGTGTTATTACACTCCCCCATTCAGCCAGGGCCCAGTAGCCTGAGATGGTTGAGTTTGGAGGGAAGGGGATGTCCTCAGGATGGAGTTAAAGCACTAGGTCCGCATGGGAGAGGGGAGAAACCAAGGCCATAGAGAAAGGGTCTGTCTTGCTCTTCATTCCCTCCCCACATCCCTAGCACCCAATATGCTGCTGTCTTACTCAGGTCCGTCCTGGGCAGATCGGTATGCTCTGGCTGCAGAGCCGTAACAAGGCAGCCCAGTCTGGGTGGGTCAGGGACAGCAGAAATCTGTTTCCTCACATTGAGAGCATCAGATAAATGTTTTTTGTTTATTTTTAAGTAATCTCTCCACCCAGCATGGGGCTTGAACCCACAACTCCGAGATCTCAAGAGTTGCACATTCCACCGACTGAGCCAGCCAGGCGCCCCTAAATAAATGTTTGATGTTGTTATATGTATATGAAGGTACATAAGTAAAATTGTTTTATTATTAAAAGAACTATTTCTTCCTGGTTCGTTCTGGAGGCAAGGAGCCCAAGATCAAGGTGTTGGCAGGGCTGGTTCTTTCTGAGGCGTCCCTCGTTGACTTGCAGATGGCCACCTTCTCTCTGTGTCCTCACACGTCTTCCTTCTGTGCGCATCTGTGTCCTATTTTCTCCTTTTTATAAGGACACGAGTCATTGGATTAGGGCCCACCCTAATGGCCTCATTTTAACTCGATCACCTCTTCAGAGGCCCTCCCTCCAAATACAGTCAGCCCGAGGCCCTGCGGGTTAGGGCTGCAACACATGAATTTTGGAGGGGGCACGCAGTTTGGTCCGTCCCCCTAGGTAAGCCCACTGGGTCTCAGCAAGGTGGGCAGAGGAGCTCAGGAGGCCCTCGTCACCCATGGGCATGGCCCAGCCTTCCGCAGTTAAGGAGGCAGGATTCTCTGGTGGATGGGGCTGGCCTGGAGTTCCGGTGGGAGGATGGGGAGCCGTACATCAGGGGCTCAGGCCCGGCAAGGGGCCCCATGGATGTCCACAGAGGCTGGCCAGATGAGCTACAGCCAGCATAGGATCAGGAGAGGAGATCCAGGAACAGCTGGGGGGACTGGCCATCTCAGAGCAGCCTTCCTACCCCCAGGAGCAAGGGTTTTGCTGGGCTCACACCGAGGGGAGGCCCCACTGGACACATGCTCTCCTTCCTCCTCCTCTCTTTGCCGCCGCAGCAGGCCTTGCTCTGCCCAGACCCCTGCCTCCCTCCTTTCCCCTGGCCAGCATCCCCAGTCCCTTCCCCCAGTAGTGCAGCCCGCCTGTTCCCACAGATGAGCATGGTGCCGAAATGAGAACGGTGGTGAGACCCCCCATCTCCCACTGCCCCCACCGGCACAGGGTCCTGTTCAGTTAAGCAGCTGCCAACGTGAGCCCTGCTCTCCCTAGTCTCTGTGGCTCCCTGAGAGACTGGCTGAGTCTTGTCACTGCCAGTGCCCAGCACAGGGCCTGGCAGCCAGCAGGCATCAAAGATTTGCTGGCCAAAGGAGCAAGAAGCAGGCCCTTCCTGGGAGGACCAGCAGCACTAAGACCCCAGCCCAGGTTTGTCCCATTCTAGTAGGGCCTGCCCCTGTCGCCCCTGCCAGTGAATCAGGCCACCCACTTTGGGGTCCCTTCCACGGCTGGTGAGCAAGAAGGGCACCCCTCCTCCTGTCACGGGTCCTGTCCCCTGCTGCCCCATGCTTTGTGAGTGAGCTAGCTTAGTCCCCACCCAGTGACGAGTGTCCTTAGCACACCATCTGCCTCACCTTCCCCATGTGTGTGGGGACCCAGAGGCCAGAGTGGTCAGCCTGGGGTGGGGTGGGGTGGGGAGAAAGCATGGCCGCTCTTCCAGCCATCTTCTTGGGCCTTCGCATTCCCCAGTGAGGAGTGTTCAACCCACCCAAGTGTACCCAGGGCAGGCCAAGGGTCAGGAGGAACTAACTGAAAGCTGCTTTTCCCAAGAAAGGCAGGACTGGTGTGAAAGGCCAAAGGTCACTGAGCAGACACCCTCCAAGAGGGTGAGGGGGAGCCCCTCCGGGTTTGGAGAAACAGGGCCAGGAAGCAGCTGTTAGTAGCTATGCTGTGAGCGGGGCTTCTCATTCTCGGGGCCACTGACCTTTGGGCCGGAGGATTCTTCGTGGGGGGCGGGGCAGGACGTTTAGTAGCATCTCTGGCCATCTCTTGACAACCAGTTATCTCTCCAGGCATTGCCAGGTGTCTCCTGGGGGCAAAATCGGCCCACTTGTCAGAACCAAGCCTGGAGAGAGGATTCCCTTGCCTAGGTTCTTAGGCTGATGTTAAGGGCCTTCAGATCACATCCGGGTCAGGTATTCAGGGGGCCTGCTGTTTGATGTGCCCTGTTCCAGGGGCCTGAATTCTCCCCCACCCCCATCCCCACCCACCGTTTTCCAGAACTGGGTCCATATATCACTTCCGCCAAGAAGTGTTCTGTGGGTGCTGTGGCAGGCAAAAAAATGCCCCCCCCCCAGATGTCCACGTCCTCATCCCCAAAACCTGAGAATATGTCACCTTCCGTAGCGGAAGGGACTTGGCAGATGTAGTTAAGTTAAGGCTCTGGGGATGGAAGATGATCCTGGGTTATCCCGGTGGCCCAACATCATCACAAGGGTCCTTAGGACAGGGAGGCAGGAGGGTCAGAGCAGAGGAGAGTGACAACAGAAGCGGGATGCAGAGAGAGCCTGGAAGGTGCTCCGCTGCTGGCTTTGCAGGGAGAGGAAGGCCGCGCGCCAGGGGGCACGGGCCACTCTGGAAGCTGGAGGGGTGAAGACACAGATGGCCCACAGAGCCTCCAGGAGGCTCTTGGCCCAGCCAATAGCTTGATTTTAGGAGTTCTGCCCTCCACAACCGAAAGATCAGAAACTCGTATTGTTTTAAGCCACCGTGCTTGAGGTAATTTGTTACCTCGGCCACAGGGAACTCAGGACAGGCATGCGTTCACTCTGGAGCCCGAGTCGGGGAGGGGGGCGTGGGGGGCGGCCCCTGGGCAGTCGGGCTGGCCTCTGCCTCTCTTGGGGCACGAGCTACGCTGTACCCCAGGCCTGCTGTCTCTCCCACTAGATGCTGAGGACTCAGTGTATGCAGGTTGAGGGTCAGGCCTTGGGTGGACCAGACATTCTCAGGCTGAGAACAACGAGATGAAGCAGACAGGGACCACTTTTCTCCCCACTCCACCCCCCAAAAGTCACACATAAAAAGACCAAAAAGCCCCAGTCTTTGTTTCACATTGCTGACTTGGAAAGGCTTCTCAGGTTCTTTAAGGTGTCCTGGGCCCAGTTCTTTTCACCCCCACCCCCAGGAAGAGACATCTCTGATTTTTTTAGCCAACAGGGCTAAAGGGAAAGTGAATTTTGCGTTCAAAAGTTCACAATTGGACACGTAGCCCAGGAGGCACCTCCAGTCCCTTTATCAGCAGCAAAAATACCAAGTGGGGGCGGTTGTGTGGCCTCAGCCTGACCCCAGAGAAAGGGACCAGGGACAGAACCGTGAGAAAATGCTCTTGTCTCAGAGATGACTGGAAAGGAGAGAAGAATCCAGAGCGGGTGTGTCTCTGAAGCTGAGGCAGGCAGGAGCCCTCGGGGAGCCACCAGGGGCCCTCAGGCCACACGGGCTGCTGTCAGGCTTCCATGGAGCCTGTGCAGGAGGTGACGGGGACAGTCAGCAGGAGGGGTCAGGGATGCCGGGTTTCTTGGGGTGGAGGAGACTGGAGAGGCATCCTTGGCATTTATCCCCTGCCAAACGGGGTGGCTGCAGAAACAGGCAAGAAGGGAGAATGGGTGGTGAGAGCAGAGAGGTGAGGAATGTGTCAGTTGTGGTTTTTATTTTCTATACTCTGATGCTTTGAGATCTTAGGGCCTTGCTGCTGTGGGAGGGACTGCCCCTCCCAGGGCTAGCTGATCCCTAGAGATAGCATACACCTCGCCTGCCACCGCTCCTCCTCTGACCACCTCCTTAGCAGGCTGCCACACTCCAGGAGGCAATGTCCCCTTGCCCTAATGTCCCCAGGGCCCCGGGGCCAGACAACTAGGCCTGCCCCTATCCCCCAGAGCCCACAGAGATTATTCAAACCAGCCAGTCCTGAGACTGTTGACCCTGCCTTTCCGTCCTGTAGAAACCACAATAAAGGCTCCTGCTCACGTCTCTGCCTTGCTCCCTCTGTCTCCTGAGCGACCCTGGTGCTTCCTCGTGTAGCCCCACATGGTGTGCGGTGCCCCTTCCTCCTGGGATCTGTGAGTAACAGACTGTCTCCTCCTGTGTTAGCCTCACCATACCTGAATAATAATAAAACCTACACTTTAAAACCCTGAGGGGCAGATCTGTCACTGGGGATGGACAGAAAGGGGAAAATGGGGTACAAAGGAGGTAGAGGGAGTGGATGCATGGGCCTCCTTGTCTGGGTGATACTGGAGAAGGGGGGGACTGCTCACTCAGCTAGAAGCCCACAGGAGCTCACATGTACTGGAGGTGACCCCCCCGCCCCCACTCCAGGTCCTGTCATCTGGATTCGACAGTCACAGGACTCCGCATTGGCTGTGGACCTGAGCCAGCACACTTTATTTTATTTTTTTAGATTTTTTTTTTTTCTAAAGATTTTATTTATTTATTTGACAGAGAGGCAGTGAGAGAGGGAACACAAGCAGGAGGAGTGGGAGAGGGAGAAGCAGGCTTCCCGCGGAGCAGGGAGCCCGATGCGGGGCTCGATCCCAGGACCC